TGAACTTTATCTGTGAAAGTCAGCTGACTTCCATGCCACTTTTGACCTAGAAGGAAGTTTCACATGATCTTTTGACAAACATAAAAGTTGTTCCTTATGATCTTAGATTTCCAAAAAGTCCTAGAAGTTCTCTTTTTGATTTGTAGAACTCAAGTTATGAGCTTGGCAAGGCAGGGGTATTTTGGGAAAGTGAGATTATAGGTCATTTTTGTTACAGGTCCATTTCACCTTCTTGCATACTTCAAATGAACATTTTTTCAACATGAAACTTGATCCAAATGGTGTTATTTGGTCAACCAAACCTTGAGAAATCATGGAATTGGCTTGGAATGGAAAATTGACATGAGAAATTTCATGAAAGGAAGCTTAAAAGGGCAAAATGAGAATTAATTCATGAGTAATCATTTTTGTGCAAATAGGTGCATTTTTTGAGTGCAAATCATGTTTTAAGAACATTGGAAATATTATAATTTGAATTTGAGGTGTTTTTATAAGCCATTTTCAAGCTTTCTTCATCATGAAGCTACACTTTCAAAATCAACCATTGAGATGGAAACAAGGAGCAAATCTCAGCCATTCACACTCCACATGCTGCTAGTAATTGAGCATCTTGGTGGAGCATGTTTAAGCTTGAATATGAAGTTCTCATTCCTTCTCTCTTGGTGGACATCTTGGACATAAAGAGAAACTACAGACTGTTGGACTGCTTTGCTGTTAGAAGACTGCTTTGCTGCTGGCTTGCTGTTTTGTTTGCTGTACCTTGCTTGACTATATTTGTGTGATTGTTTGGTGTGTTTCATTAGAATAGGCTCTCATGTAGTTGATATTAGGCCTAATTGCATTGAAAGGTTGAGTTTGCCCCCCTTTGCTTGTTTGCATTAGAGGTTGAGTCTGTCTCCCTCTGCTTGTCTGTTACTGTTTGGCTTTGCTTGCTGGTTGAAGGTTGAGTTTGCCTCCCTTTCCTGTGTTTTTTCTCTTGCTTGTTTGCTCTAGAAGTTGAGTTTGTCTCCTTCTGCTTGTATTGCTGCATTGCATGCATTTTATTTACAGCTTTATTTCTTTCAGTTTATTCTTTTGTTGTTGAGTGCCTTTTCCATGTTCCCTTAGGGACTCTAACTTCTCTTGTTCAAGAGAAGTTATGACAGAAATTAGGGTTCTAAACATGCATGATAACATTATGTAGTTCCCTTGTGAATCCCAACTTTAGGATCAACTTTACATGACAACAGTAGGATGCTTGTTAGTTACCCTGTAGAGTCCTTTCTCTTCTCATCTCAAAACAACGTCAAAATATGTAATAAAGAACGACAAATATTGTATGCTACGAGTCTTTAGCTACTTGGGGAATGGTGGTTGAGGGGTTTCCTCTCAATTACCTAGAGTGTTTAGTGTACACCCTTTGGGTGATATGCGACGCATTCGCCTCTAGGTCACAAGTCTTTAGTGCAACATGAGTTACAACGTAGGCATAGGATGCGATATCCTAGCGAGCAACCTTCCCCCTTCTTTAGCCGTAGTTTTCTGAACAACGTTGACTCTGACTTTCCCATTGCACGAGGGAATACGTAGGCATAGAGCGGTGATGCTCTATCGAGTCTCTTTTCTTTTCTTTTGTCCCTATGACTTTTAGCGTAGATAGTTTAACACACCCTTAGCTAGATAACAAGCGTGGATCCCGTCGAGTACGACGGACGTGAGAGGTGCTAATACCTTCCCCTTGCGTAACCGACTCCCGAACCTAGGACTTGGTTGCGATGACCTCGTCTTTTCCCTTTTTCGTTAGGTTTTCTCTAAGCGTTTCCTTTCCCTCCTGTGGGATAAATAACACACGGTGGCGACTCTTCTGTCTTTGCCGACGCCAATTTTTGCAGTAGCGACACCTTCGATTTCATTTATTGTAAAGACCCAGTCGAAGGCTTTTTCACATTACCTCAAGAAATCAACATTTCAACCAAAAGCTCTAATTTAATGTGGGCGTCGAATTTCTAAGCTAACAAATTGCCCCCCAAAAATGTCTTTTTCGACAATGCTGAAGAAAATGCCATTTTTTGATAGTGCCCTATTCGACGCCGCCCTTCGACCCCACGTAGGTGTCAACGTGACTGACCAACTCATGACTTAAAAGAAACGATTCATCTACTTTTCAAGCACGTCCATGCTGTCATGGCCAATTATGAAACAATTTCTTGGAAATCCCACCAAATCCCATACCATCATCACCTCTCCTAGGATCTATGAGATCGTGGGCATAAGTAATAACTGCCACCGCCCCCACTTTCGCTCCTGGGACGTCACGAGTCCCACTACCTTTTAGCCATCAATGATGAATAGTGACCTTTGATTACTCCCAAACGCTTTATAAATAATATCCTCATAAATCATTTTTACTTTTTTCCACTCCAAGCAATCATTATGCATTTCTTTCAGACACTCCCAACTCTTCCCTCCAGCAAACCCATTTTTCTTAAACCCTTAACAATGGCGTCCTCCAATGCTGTTACATAAGATCAGAAGAAAAACCCAAAGGTCAAGGGGCCAAAGAGTGTTTTGTTGCTTCCTCCCTTTGCTACACTAAGTGGACCCAAGGTGGTGAAGAACCAACAGTTCATTCTTGAACCCCTCATAGAAGAGAAGAGGCACATCTATGAATCTCAGGTAATGATTCTTGTATCTGTTTCAGGTAAACCCTTAACTTTAGCTGGTCCTCTATCTCCTTTAGGAATAATTTATTCAACCATTAGTGACTTCTTTCCCTCATATCGCAAGACTAAACCCTAAGGGCAGAAAGATCAAACAAAAGTAGCCACTGAAGGTCCTGATAGCATAGCTTTACACAACTTATACCTAAAGTATTTGAATGATGGGTCCAGGTTGTTTAAAGCAGCTCCCTACTTCAAAGATTCTAACCTCTATTTGAACTGGTTGACCAAATTAGAGAAGGTCAAGACAGAAGCTTAGAAGAAAACTGGGATTTATGACTTGATCATGATATCAAAGGCAGGCCCCACCTACTGCCCCATTCTGTTGGGTTCTTATTTATATTTTTGGGATAGTACCCATTATACCTTTCACCTTCCTTGTGGGATGATAACGCCCATCCCTTTTGACTTATCCGCTATCACGGGGCTAAAACCTCATATATTAGTCTATGATCCTGAAATGGATAATCAGGACAACATAGGGTTTTCCACCACCAAGCACACGTATACCTACTTCATCAATCATTATCACAACAAACAAACAGACATGGTCGAAGACCAATAACACATAGCATTTCTAGCTATGTGGCTTTCTCGTTGTGTGTTATGTACCAAATCTCTGCAGGTGGCAAGGAAGTATCTCACTCTAGCCAACCAACTACATCTGAATCAAGGCATTTGTCTAAGTAAAATGATACTAGCCAACTTCTATGAATCTCTGAGCGAAGGTACTGGTCTATTGAAAGACCAAGAGAGTAATGAGAATCTCTTGCTGTCGGGGCCTTTTTGGCTACTCCAGCCCTGACTTAATGCCACATTCGAGACTTGCCTTCCTAACAAAGGGACGGTCGACGAAGAAGACCCAGAGATAAAAGAGAGGCGAGTTGAATGGATTCGACTAGTTAAGCTAACCCCTAATGAAGAGGGGCTGACACTAAGGGCATCCATTTCTGGCTTTACTAAGATGTTCGCCAAACGACACGAGTTTACCCCACGGATGGCCCTGTTTGCAAAAAGAAAATACGGTCCTGAATGGTTTACTAGGGTCTTTCCTCCCGCGTTCAAAAAACATGAGGCAGAGTCAATGCTAGTCTGGGAGGGTTTTCTGATCCCTCGACTCATTGTCCACAAACTTAACCTTCTAAGGGGTCAAACAACTTTGATGACCTACCAGCCAAATCTTGTATCTCGATAGTTTGGTTTGGTCCAAACATTGCCAAAGTGTCTATATGACAAGCAGGTTCATGTGATCCTTCCCCATACTATCTACAATGACATAGAGAGTTCGACGCGTCTTGCTCGACATGCCTACAAATCTCTCCTTACCCCTGTTTACTTCAAGCCCTCTCGCCTCTGCACCCAGAAATTCTACAACTGATGGTCGAGGCATTACACTGTAGAGTTCCTCGATGTTTCTAGCTTTATTCGCTTGATTGACCAAGCTTTTGTTAATGTGCAGAAGAAGGTTAAGAAAGGTATATCTACTCACATCAAAGATATTCAAGCCTTCCAAAAGTACTTTGAAACCGCTTATCGACCAAATGATGTTAGTCGAACCGCCCGCGAAGCGGCTGTTACGCTGAAAGAAATTTTCTCAAAGAAAATGGAGAATTTAAAAATTCCTTCGTACGTTCCTCCTGAGAAACGCTATGAAGTGGCTTTCTCCCTATTTCCCCCAAAGACTCCTCGACTGCCATCTGCTGACTTTAGAGTGGCCCTTTCCCCTCCATTTTCAAATTGGTTAATCTGTGGGAATTCTATAAAGATCCTTCGTCAACAGTCGAAATCTAAGGCCCAACGGATTGTTCCGATTAAACATACGCTCAACAGTTTCAAAGGGCACCATGTCGGTATGGAAGATGTTCGCATCGAATCCGACATCAGACTTCTTCCCCAAGTCATTGTTGCTTAAACCTTTCAATTTTCTTTTGCCCAAGTTGAATTAGATCAACATTTACAAAATTTCAACATATAAAAAACTTTTACAAAATGAAAAAATGTTAGTTGAAGAAATTAGTTATAATTAGTTATGCAGTTAGTTTCTGCATTGAGTTAGTTAGAACATTGGTTACTCGTCAGGTAAGCAACTAGTGTAGTGTACTAACTATGATATATATGCTTGTATATACAAAGCTATATTATTTGATTAATACAAGAGAGAATCATTTTCTTTCATCCTTCTTCTTCAAGTTAATGTTTACCATGAATTTCTCAAGCTTGTTAGAAGTGATTAACAAAATGTAATAAGCATATTTTTTGTTGAAGAAAAGAAATATATATTTAAGAAATGTAACAGTAAACTTAATTTCCGCAATCGTCAAAACCACGAGCTACACCCTCAGGAATGAAATAATTATAGTTAAATACAACAGGTGGGTAGTTATGATTGTATGCGATGATAGTCTCTGGCACCCAACCATCAGATCCAGCTCTTGCTACATATAGTCTGCATATTTTTCCAATACATTGTCCCAATATCCGGAATATAAGCGTCTTGCACTGCTCGAATACCTCATTCTCTGAATCTAGTTCTAATACCTTAACCTCTTTTCCATCAGCATCCCCAAATAAAACTCCGACTGTATCTTTTGAATATGCTGGAGAATTACAACTTGTCTTTACGCTGATACTGTAAGAGCACATTTCCATCTGTGTAGTCTCATTCATCTGAAACATGCATATACAGTACATATAACCTTTTATAGAAAATACAACAAATTATGGAATTATTTAAGATACACATGCCAGTTTAGAATAGCGACTATACTTTTTTTAGGTTAAAAATAAATAAGAAAAACTATAGAATATGCTACTTTGAATGATTTTTAATAATTTTGCTAAAATATATATATATTTTTTACTTTTTGTTGAGTATGATCAATCGTGGAATATTGATTTATTTGATGTTGAAGGCGAGTGACCAATGTAGGTGTTGCATTTGAGAATGCAACGATGATGCAGAATGTGAGGGTTAGGGTAAGAACTTTCATGATTTAGTTGATTATTACTTGTAATCAAGAGAAGATAATAGAGGAATATATAAATTGTTTAGATATTTCTAACTTATATTAATTATAACATTATAAAGGCCAAGGCCTATGTATAACTATACCATGAAATGCTAACACTGCACAAATTTTAATATTTTATTATAACTTGGTGAATTCTTTATGTTATATACTTATATTAAATTATGTGAGCTAGAATCTTCTTAAAACATAATGGATTCGTTCCTATTAAAAAATCTTATTGGCTTCATGGTGGAACCAAAGGACGTGAGAGAAACGTAATTTACACTTAATTGAAAGTTTGCCCTGTAATTATCAATTAGGTCCACTTATTATTATTATTATTATTATTATTATTATTATTATTATTATTATTATTATTATTATTATTATTATTATTATTATTATTATTATTATTATTATTATTATTATTATTATTATTATTATTATTATTATTATTATTATTATTATTATTATTATTATTATTATTATTATTATTATTATTATTATTATTATTATTATTATTATTATTATTATTATTATTATTATTATTATTATTATTATTATTATTATTATTATTATTATTATTATTATTATTATTATTATTATTATTATTATTATTATTATTATTATTATTATTATTATTATTATTATTATTATTATTATTATTATTATTATTATTATTATTATTATTATTATTATTATTATTATTATTATTATTATTATTATTATTATTATTATTATTATTATTATTATTATTATTATTATTATTATTATTATTATTATTATTATTATTATTATTATTATTATTATTATTATTATTATTATTATTATTATTATTATTATTATTATTATTATTATTATTATTATTATTATTATTATTATTATTATTATTATTATTATTATTATTATTATTATTATTATTATTATTATTATTATTATTATTATTATTATTATTATTATTATTATTATTATTATTATTATTATTATTATTATTATTATTATTATTATTATTATTATTATTATTATTATTATTATTATTATTATTATTATTATTATTATTATTATTATTATTATTATTATTATTATTATTATTATTATTATTATTATTATTATTATTATTATTATTATTATTATTATTATTATTATTATTATTATTATTATTATTATTATTATTATTATTTGATCTGACGTGACCTGAAGAGAATCACTAGCGAAGCACATTCTGTTGGACTGCTACCTGTTCACCGATGTTGAAGAATAGGAGGGGGGTGTACCTGCAAGACACTCCGATGCCAAAGTAAGGAATTGAGCAGAGTGAGAGCTAATACAGAAAAGGGGTAAGAAGTGAATTACCTGACCCTCTTGTGAAAGAGGGTATTTATAGAGAGACCTCAGCGCTGGGCCAACGGTCACTTGTGTTGGGCTGGATTACCAGGCCCAACCCAGACGACTGCTAGGGCTTACGTGGCGTAGTGAAGACCAGGACGTGGTCTTCGCCCTAGTCCAACTGTCCCGTGATCTTCGGAAAGTGGATTTGACCTGCTCTTTCAGAGGTGGGCAGTTGGTCGGTGACGTGTCTCCGCGGAGGGGAGCACGTGGAGAACGAGTGAAGGACACGTTGTCCTGCCCGACAGAGGAGCAGGTTCTGCCCGCGGGGAGGGCAGTGTTTAGTTGATGGTGGAGTCTTGTGCCCGACGTAGCTGAGGCAGGTCCTGCCCGCGGAGGGACATTACCTGCTCGTCGGGGACCCTGTGCTCGACGGCTGTGGCCCAAGCTGGACAAGGCTTGGCATAATGTTATTCGGTTGGGTCTGCCTGGTCAAGCCGGGGCCCAGGCCAGAACAGGAGCCCTCCAAGTCGTAGCTCCGAGGAAGGGAGTGAGGACTTGATGACGTTGTGTCGGAGAGAAGGGATTAACCTGAGGAGAAAAACCCTCCAGCTCGTGTTCCGCGGGGACGCGAGTACACGCGTCCTTCCTCGTCGTCGGTTGCCCGGGCTTGAGGACACGTGTTAGCGAGGAGATGTGAGGGGATGCGATTGTCAGCCTTCGCCACGTGTCACACGCTGGGTGGCTGCTAGGGCGGCTACCCTAGGGCACTCGAGTGCCTAGCGACGCTTCGAGTCCCGTGCTGGGGTATAAGTAAGTGAGCCCCCGCTCATTCTCCACTTTTCGCCCTCTCACTCTCAAACTTTCTGCTTTGCCGTCTTGCCGCCGTCTGATCTCTCCGCCGCAGCAGCCGCCACGTACTCCGCCGCAGATCGAATCATAGTAAGTTTCCTTTCTTCTTTCTTTATTTTTTCCTGTTTGTTTTAGGACTGTGGTCGGGGCAGTTTGAATGCCCCGAGGAGAGGTGAGGATCTCCGCCGTTGTAGGGGGATTTTCTAGGGTTTCACCGTGAGCGTCCCGAGGAGAGATGCCAATTCCGATGAACGCCCCGGGGGCGGATGCTTGTTCCGATGAATGCCCCGGGGAAAGACGCTTACTCCGATGAACGTCCCGGGGAGCGACGTCTATTCCGATGAACGCCCCGGGGAGAGTTTGTAGGTTAGGTTGTGCTGGTTCCCCAGGGAGGTGGTAGGTTTTGGGTAGAGCCACCGGGGATGATGCTCGGTGTGTCCTCGTCGCCCTTTCACTTGACTTGCGGTGGAAGGGTGAATTTGATCTTTGTCATCGAATTCACCGTTACCTTCTGCTTTTCAAGTGTTAATGACTACGTTTGTCCCGGGGACAATGGTCGAGGACAACAAACCAGACGTTCCACATTTTGACGAGTGCGTCCTTCGCCTCGAGGATTGGGTGGCCGAGGAACCTCTGTCCACGCCTTCCTGTTTTGCTTCTGACCCGACGGGGGCCTATGCTACCGTGGAGGATCGACGAGAAAGAGACCCTCAGAATTGGAAATTTTATCGTCCCCGGGCGGTTCACCGAATCTGCTCGAAGTACGGGAGGATGCGCTTCCCGATGTATGAATTCTACTTCAAAGAGGCCAGACTCAGGCTGCCATTCTCAGACTTCCACCTGGGCCTCTTCGATTGGATGAGGTTGACCCCGTCGCAGCTGGATTCGAATGCCTTGGCTTTTATTCGGGCATTCGAGGTCGTATGCCGCTATCTCCAGGTCGGCGCGACGCTGCCGCTATTCTTCCGTATCTTTCATCTGCAGCAGCAAACAGTGAATGACCGACACAAATGGGTGTCGTTCAAGCAACCTGACATGCTTTTCAAAACGTACATGGACTCTGTCCGGGACTTCAAGGGTCGTTTCTTCGTAGTCATCCCGATCACGCATGAGGGGGTTGGCTCTTTATATTCTGAGGGGGAGCGGATCGTGGATGGTCATCGAGAGGCCGTTATGTTGCCGCGGGTGCACGTGAAGTGGTCCCCGGAGCATTTCTCTCGGGGGATAGACCGGTACATCGTGCGTGCGGGGTCGCTTGACGAAGAGGACATGGCCAGCTATATGAAGATAGTCTCGTTTGTGCGTAGTCTGCCGCCGTCGAAGCTGGTGACCCCCGATGGCTAGTACATTCTCGACAACCAGGGGAATGTCTGCGAGACGGTGAGGTTGATTAATACGAAGGCATTGCTCGAGTGTCCCTCGGAGGCGGATGCCCTTCGCTACCTAGGTGGTGGACGCCTCTCCCCTCTCACGGTCTGGTATTCTTTATCTGTTATTGATCCACTTTCTTTGTTTTGTAGGGAACATGTCTTCCATCGAGGAACAGGTGAAGAAGTTGTGCGCGTCAAGGGTCGCTGTTCCTTCGAAGATGCGGGTTGCCCAGCTGGTCGGGCAGGCTTCCGCTGATCAGGATGGCCGGGGGTCGTCGTCTTCTCCTCCCAGCAGTCAGTCGCCCACATCGCAGGGGGCCCCTAAGAGGGCCAGAGTCCAGGAGGTGGAGGCCGTGGTCGACTTATCGGCGGATTCTACCGAGGAGGGTTACTCCATCGCTCCCTGTCATCAACACCCCGGCTACTTTCATGGGGCCAGGTCGCCCAGCATTCCTGCCGGGGAAGCGAAAGCGGTCTTAAGTGCGGATCGGGCTACGCAGAGGCGGGTTCTGACGGAGGACTTGGCTGCCCTGATGCAGACCTTCACTACAGCGATGGTTCTGAGCGAGGAAAGCTGCAGGGGGACCTTGCTTTCACGCAGTCTCGTCTGAATAAGGTTGTCAAGGACCTGGAGCTGAGCCGGGGAAAGATGACTCAGCTGACCGAGGAGCTGGAGAAAAGTCAAGGGGAGGTCGCCCGTGAGCGCAAGAGAGGGGATATCACCGAGTAGAGGCTGAAGGCTGCTGACGAGGAAGTGCGGGCACTAGAGGCTCGCGTGGAGAAGCTGGAGGGTGGTCTTCGTCCTGCTGACGACGAGACCGAGGATGATAGGCAGATGGTTACCCGGGCTGATCTGCTCACTAGGATACGGGTGCTGGAAGGTGATTGTCTGGACGCTTTCGCCGCGAGTTTCATTGGCGTTGTCGCGCAGCTTAAAGTGGTGAACTCCGGTGTTGCCTTGGTCGAGGACGGCATCGGGCCCTTCCACGAGATAATCGATGGTCGGGTGGTCGACCCCAGCGCCGAGGACGTTGGCCCTGTTGTCCCTCCCGTCGAGCCTGAAGCGGAGGAGGAAGAAGGAGCATAGATTAGTTCCGGGCCTGCGTGCCCGCGTATCCTGGCCTGCGTGCCAACACTTTGTATTTTGCTGTTTTCTTTACGGGCCTGCGTGCCCTTAATGGTGATGTAATGTTGACTACTGGGCTGGTGCCCGCCTTTAAATGATATTTTTTTGAAAATTTGTCTAAGTGTGCGCTTTGTTTTTGCATGTTGCTATGCTCGTTTTATTTCTGCCCTTTTGTATGCTCGAGACAGATGTGTATGTTTAAACACATGTTTATTATGCCTTTGGGCCCGTCCGGGGTGGTAGCTCGATGATAATTGTTTCCGGGAGTGTGGAGAACTGGCCGGTTGGCCGACTTTGTTACCTGG